GAGTAATTTTATTTTAACGTCACCCTTTCTGGGCTGGCTTTTTACTTTGCGTCAGGGGCCTCCAGGGCGTGAGAGGGGGGCTGCTGGCTGGCTGGGAAGCCGACTGGAACTGGAAAGTCGCTCCTGGCAAAAAGGAATGAGGACTTGCTGCGCGCGAGTGCGCGGGGGGCGGCTGGTGCGCCGCTGTTTAGAATCTTGCGCAACCTATTTCTGTCTCGGTGGTGGTGTTCCCCGAGCTCGCGAGGAGCAGGAAGGGAGTGGGAGGAGGAGTAGTCGTCGGCGGGGCCGGCGGCGGTGGTAGCGGCGCACTGAAATATTGAATGCTCTCCTCACCGGGTCCAAATTCCATTCTCCTCTTTTCCCGTTGTGGCCCCCGGGCCGCTCGGCTCGCGGTGGAGCGGGTGGATTTTATTTTTAGCACTGTGGAATATGCATGAGGCGCGGGCGCGGCGCCTCAAGACCTTGTAATAACGAACTTGTAATAATAGCGCATCGCGTTGTGACCGGCCGCGGCCTGCATAATGCACCCCGTGTACTCCACCGCACCGAGCTGCACCGAGCACAGGAGGTACTCCTTGAGGTACTCGTTGAGGTACTCGCGTCATGGTCCAGCAGGTGGTGCCACGTGCCTCGCCACGGAGCACAGGAGGCACTTCTATGTGGTACTCGCGACTCGCGTCATGGTCCGTGGTCCGGGTGGCGCCGCGGAGCACAAGAGGTACTCGTTCAGGTACTCGCGTCATGGTCCAGGTGGCGCCGCGGAGCACAAGAGGTACTAGTTCAGGTACTCGCGTCATGGTCCAGGTGGCGCCGCGGAGCACAAGAGGTACTCTTTATGAGGTACTCGCGTCATGGTCCAGGTGGTGCCGCGCGCTTTGCCGCCCCAGCTGGGGCGGTGACGAGGATGGCCCGTTTGCCCCGCGCGCCCCGCGGCAAGGACGAAGGGCGGGTGAAGAAAAAAACGGGGAGCTGAAAAAGTGCGGAGGGTAAAACGAGAGAGGAGGGCAGAAAGAGCGAGAGAGGTGCATGAAAAGCGTGGGGGACTGGGAGAGTGAAAGAGGAAGGGGAGGAGAAGAAGAGTGAGAGAGAGGGAGCAATAGAGAACGCGCGAGAAAGGGAGAATTCTTATTACGCAATTGGTGCGGAAAATGCGTAGTATAGTGGCCCTATTCCATATCACTATAACGCCCTATCTCTACGTTCTATAACCCCCTGTGCTCGCCCTCTTTACCAAAACGCGCGCGCACACACACACACACACACGCACACAATCGCTGCCCGGCCACGCGTTAAGGAACACATGGTGCGCGCGCTCGTGTTGTGTTGCAAGGTGACAAGCAGCTGCTGTTGAGTGTGACGACGGTGCGGCGAGGACGGAACCCCCCGCCACCACCCTCCCTTCTGTCTCCAACCGCCACCCCGATACCCTCCGCCCCCAACCCCATCCCCCGCCTCTTAAGGCCCTCGGAAGGACTGGCAGCTCAGCCGCCCCGTGGCACGTATGAGTGGGAGAGTGATGGTGGCTCTAGCGGTACGGAGGCGGGCGGGGGTGTCGAGCGGGAGAGAGGGAGGGAGAAAGGGAGAAAGGGGGTAGGGGGTGTAGGGTTAGTGTGGAGGCAGTGGCAACAGGAAGCTGCAAAACTTCTCCCGAAGTGTGCCATTACGCGCTGGGGCAGTAGTGGTGGGGCCCGAGGGGGTGGGGGGTTACGGGGGCGCAGTCGTCGAAACACAACCCGGCGAACAGCAGCCGTGGCGCGCAGCTGCTTCTCGTCATGGCCGGCACACTGTCACCCCCAGCGGCGCACAGCGGCGCACAGCGGCGCACAGCGGCGCACAGCGGCGCGCGGAGCATATTCGCTCGGACGCGATGCGGCGAAGGCTGCTGGTGCAACTGGTTATCGCAACATGGCGCGCTGGCGCTGGCAGGGAGGCGTCGCTGGCAATATCAAACGCGACGCCGACTTCGACAGCGAGAGCGACATAACGGCCGCAGAGGAGTGCTAACCGTAAACCAGAGGGAACCAGAGGGCGGGGAGCAAGGGCGCTGACCTAATTTTTCCAACCAACGGCCGAACGGCGGTTTTCCTCTGCCCCTACCCTCCAACAGCTCTGCCTCGCCGCACTACCGCCAGGCCGGGCCGGCGCAGCCCAGCCGAGCCCAGCAGTCGCGCGGGAGCGACTGGCAGCGGCGGCTCGTCGTCGGCGTTAATAAAACCGCGAATCGTTGACTTATGGCTTCTCATTACCGGTCCCCGCTTTGAAATGTATCGCCCAGGGGCACTTTGGTCTCACCGCGCGGCTGGCGCGACTGCAGCGCTGCAGCCCGGCCTGCTGGCCGCCCCCGCGACCCGCGACCTTGCAGTCCTATCATCCGTATCGCGAGCTTCACGCCCCGCGGCGCGTGTTTGCGGTCTGCGTTGCGTCTGAGCCGCGCTAGTGTATACTTAAAGCTTATTCACCACGCCGGTTTTATGTTGCCTTCTCTCTCTTTCTCTCTCTTTGAATCTCTCTCTCTCCCTTCCTCTCTCTCTCTCTCTCTCTCTCTCTCTCTCTCTCT